ATTACAGGCATGCGTCACCACGCCTGGCTAATTTTGTATTTTTTTAGTAGAGACAGGGTTTCTCCTTGTTGATCGCTGGCCTCGAACTCCTGACCTCAGGTGATCCACCTGCCTCGGCCTCCCAAAGTGCTGGGATTATGGTGTGAGCCACCACGCCTGGCCTATCAGGGCTAAATAAATAACTCAATTAAAAATGTAGAAAAGCTTATTAAAAGAACAACAAAAACGTGAGATTTATCTCTTGTAAACTAGTTACATGAATTAGATATTAAACAGCCAAAAAACCAGAGATGATAGTACCTGTTAAGATCCTGGTTCATTTCACAATATGAAAAAGTTGATGGGTACTTAGTAGCTTCTTTTTTTAGAATTCACTTTATTACATTATACTAGAAAAATGAAAGTATTAATGTTTTCCATTCAGAAAAGTTTAAATGACTCTCTCTCTCTAATTTTGGTTTAAAGTTTTATTCAGTTTATTCAATGCCCTCAAAAACAGAAAAATAGAAAAGCACTGAGTAATTTGCACTGTTTGAGTGTAAAGTCTTATGTGTCAGAAATAGAATATTCTTTTTTTTTTTTTTGAGACCAAGTCTCACTTTGTCACCCAGGCTGAAGTGCAGTGGCATGATCCCGGCTCAGTGCAACCTCCGCCTCCCAGGTTCAAAGGATTCTTCTGCCTTAGCCTCCTAAGTAGCTGGGATTACAGGCTTGTGCCACCACACCCAGCTGATTTTGTATATTTAGTAGAGACAGGGTTTCACCATGTTAGCCAGGCTGACCTCAAACTTCTGACCTCTGGTGATCCGCCCTCCTCGACCTCCCACAGTGCTGGGATTACAGGCTTGAACCACCATGCCCGGCCAGGAATAGAATATTGTTTAATTGGCAGGCAGAGAATGAAAGCCAAGTCAAATAAGAAAACATCATGGAGTTTGATCACTTAGAAAATTACAGTGAATAACTATTACCTAAAAGGAAATTTTTTAAATTCTCAGTTGTTGACAATACATGTCTCCTGACATACACGGTCCACCTTACAACAAAAAATGGGCACAAAGCTCAGTCCAGAACTGCAAAGTACATTTATTAAAATGACAAATGATGATCTGCATTTAATACATTAATTGCTGATGATAGAATTGCAAATTTCAACTGAATTTACACGGAGGCTTAGCAATGGTAGTTTGGTACAAATGGAAAGGTTTATCACCTCAGAGTATTTGAGGGCAAGGAAAATACAGAAACAAAAATTTGGGTGTATGCAACACAGTGTAAGTGCTCAGAAATAAATTTTACCATAGTGAGAACTGAACCGCAATGACATGTTACCACACGGTGAGGACATCATCATTGAATGCCTGCGTTCTGCTCCTTCGTGGTGGCAGCTACCTTGGTTCACTAGTTCTCACGTTTGCAGCTCCTTCACATGCCAGGGAGCTTCCCACGTGTGGCACACAAAGGAAACAGCACAGTGAGGAGAGGCTAGCAGACCCACCCAGCCCAAGGCAAAGCCTTCTCAGTTACAAGACTTTTCTACAAAAGAGACTTCAAAGTTGAAACACACTGGAAAAAGTTAAAAAGATCCTGCTGCTTCTTAGGGAGCTTCAAATACACATTCTGACACAAAAGTGAGAAACAATTCGGTTTTAGGAAAAGCGCCAACTGCAATCCAGAGTAAAAAGTTTCAACAAAAAGAAAAGTAAAACTGAATGATCTCCCTCTCATTGCCTAATTAATAGAAAAATAGTAGGTGTGAATATTTTTCATGGCAAGCTGAAAAATGGTTAAGTGGACAATTTACAAACAGTCTTCAGAAAACCTTATCATTACCTTTTCTAGTTGAAAGTCTATGAATGACATATATAAGTATACACATCATAGCAAAAAACTCGAGAACTAGTGGTTAACATGATAGACATTGGCAAAGGTGAAGGATAAAACTGGTGAATGAAGGTAGCTGGGTGGTCTACAGGCTAGAACATGGTCATGAACAGCACAATGCAGTAGCCACCTGCAATCCTAATCATTGAGGCTCACTGGTGATACGTCCCACTTCCAAAGTGGCCATCCTTCCCCGGCAGCCATGTCTGGTGGGCGCCGCATCAGGAACGGGGGCCTGTCCATTGCTTTGTCCCAAACTCCAGGTAAGGGCAACACGTGGGTGGATCTGTGTCGTAAGACTGATCCTGAAAGTGGATTTGGCATTTCTTACCCAAAGCTAATGAAACAAATACTTGAGAACCATGATTTCTACAAATTATTCTGTATTTCAGGTTTCTTTTCCTGCAAAAAATTTCATGTATACAGAATAACAACCTTTGATCGATTTATTAATTAGAAGCTATTTATACCAGTACAAAAATACCCACAAACGATGATTAAAATTGTAAGACTATTTTTAAATTCATAAAAATGGTACTGTACTGGGCGTGACTAGAGTTCCAGTTTGTGGTGCCTCATGGGATACAGAAGCAGGAGGAATTACCCGGCTGGAGGGGTAGGAAGCTGTTTTCCTAATTTGTCACTATTTAAAAATGGTTCAGGGTGGCCACATCTTAGGGGCTTTTCCTTTAATGTAAAGTGCCATTTGGAATACCACTTACAATCTGGGATGGGTCAAATCAGCCGCTACCCTACACCAGGCGTGGTGAGAAGACCTAAACCTCACTCTGTGAAGTCTCACCGACGCTGTTCACAGCAACACATCGGCCTCGGGGCAGAGATCACCATGGCCGGAGCCCACCAAGGCAGCCACCTCGCACCACAAGCAAGGGCCTCACAGTGCACAATCGAAGGTGTGGGGCTCATTCAGTGCTGCGGTTGGAGGGTCGGGGCGCCTCGTCTGGGTAATTTTCTGTTTGGGGTTTTTGGTTTCTTCTTCCTCTTCAGTTTCACTTTCACAGACATGAACCACCACGCTGGGTGTCGACTCAGTTCCCGCGTGAAGTTCGTACTTCTCTCCTGTGGGGGCAAACCAAGTGAGAACCATGACAAAAGCATCACTTCCAGCAAAAAGAACTCTTTTGTTTCTTGCAATATTTTGTTCTACTCCTATTTTAATGGATGATTCTTGCTTTTAAAATCTTTAAATCCTATGTCGGAGTATTTTATCTTGTTTTGTTGTTTGATACTTTAAGGCTCTTATGTTATTTCAGTACTGAGGTCTTGGGAGCTAAAATGCAAATGCTAATTATTGTTTTATGAATAATATGAGTAAATCTGTTTATTCTTTGTTTACTTATTTGAGATGGAGTCTCACTCTGTTGCCCAGGGTAGAGTGCAGTGGTACGATCTCAACTCATTGCAACCTCCTCCCAGGTTCAAGGGATTCTCCTGCCTCAGCCTCACCTAGTAGTTTGGACTACAGGTGTGTGCCACTACACCCAGCTAAGTTTTGTATTTTTAGTCGAGATGGGGTTTTATCATGTTGCCCAGGCTGGTCTTGAACTCCTGACCCCAGGTGATCTGCCTCCCTTGGCCTCCCAAAGTGGAGGTGTGAGCCACCACGCCTGGCCAAGTAAATCTGTTTAACTTCATAATGGTTTCAGTTTTCCTTTGGGAGATAATTGTAAGGCTCCAGGCAGCACAGGCAATCCCTTGATTATAGGACCTTGGATATCCAAGATATAGCTCCAACATTTAAAAACAGTACTGAGTCACTTCTTCCTCAAATGCCTCTTTTATTCCCCTACAAGACACATAGCTCTGTCTTGGATAGACAGCTGTCTGAACCAGCATCACACCAGTTTCTTATATGGTTTTAAAAGGATCAGAGAGGTAGAGAAAGTAAACAGAAGGAATAGAGGAAATAAAAAGAAATGACAAAAATATTGAAGGAATGAGATGACATCACCACCAATTCCTTGAAATATATTCAAAGTAGTTGTTGCCTATCTGATACTCGGTGGCACCTGATAGTCACTAACTGCCTATCAAGTACTAGCAAAATTTGTAGTAGTAAAAATGCAGTTCCATTTATTATTATATGTACGTCATTTACTACTGATTTTTTATTTTATTTATTTATTTATTTTTGAGATGAAGTCTCGCTCTGTCTCCAGGCTGGAGTTCAATGGTACAACCACAGCTCACTGCAACCTCTCTCTCCTGGGTCCAAGCAATTTTCCTGCCTCAGCCTCCCGAGTAGCTGGGACTACAGGCATATGCCACCATGCCCAGCAAATTTTTGTATTTTTAGTAGAGACGGGGTTTCACCATGTTGGCAAGGATGGTCTCAATCTCCTGACCTCGTAATCTGCCTACTAGGCCTCCCAAAGCATTGGAATTACAGGCGTGGGCCACTGTGCCCAGCCTTTTATTTTTATTTTTTTGGAGATGGAGTCTCACTCCATCACCCAGTGCAGTGGCATGATTTCAGCTCACCACAACCTCTCTGCCTCCTGGGTTCAAGCAATTCTCCTGCCTCAGCCTCTGGAATAGCTGGGACTACAGGCACATGCCACCATTCCTAACTGGTTTTTTATATTTTAGTAGAGATGGGGTTTCGTCATGTTGGCCAGGCTGGTCTCGAACTCCTGATCTCAAGCAATCTGGCCACTGTAGCCTCCCAAAGTGCTAGGATTACAGGCATGAGCCACCACGCCCGGCCCTCATTTAATACTTATAACCACACTGAATGGTGGATATGATTCTCCCCACTTTACAGACAGAAAAGCAGAGGCTCAGAAAACGGAGGCTAAGAAACTTGCTCAAGATCACAGAGCAAGCAGATGCCACAGCTGGAACCTGAACCCGGGTGTGTGTGACTTCATCCTCTGCTCTAACCATACTGCCACAACGCACACTGCTGAATATGATCTTCAATACAAAAGTTTCTTGGGGAAGAAAAGAGGAAAAAGAGAAGTGTATTACCTGGTCCCAGTTTGGAAACAGCACAGAGTAAATCATAATTTATAACAGGCATTGCGTCTTCACTCTGCTTCCACCCCACCGGGGGAGAGGCTGGAGGCGAGATGAGGAACTGCTTGACCGGCTGGGGCGGCAGGAGATACGACTTGTCCCGCACTTCGCCAGATGTCTGCACCTGCAGGGAGCGAGACGCTCAAAGCCCGTTTGCAAACTGGGCTGTTTTCTTCATTTTTCACCTTTATGTTTACTGTTCCATCTTTTTGTAGAAAATTAAAAATTTCTCTTAAATAGTCTATAATCTCCAAGAGGGTAAGACGGGGTCTCTTTGGCTCACCACTGGCCACTCAGTGCACAGCAGATGGCCACACATGGTAGGTGCTTCATAAATATTAACTGAATAAAAAACAAACGGATGGGCTGGGTGCAGTGGCTCACGCCTGTACTCCTAGCACTTTGGGAGGCCTAGGAGAGTGGATCACCTGAGGTCAGGAGTTCGAGACCAGCCTGGCCAACAAACATGGTAAAACTCTGTCTCTACTGAAAATACAAAAATTAGCCAGATGTGGTGGCGTGTGCCTGTAGGCCCAGCTACTAGCGAGGCTGAGACAGGAGAATCACTTGAACCTGGGAGGTAGGAGTTGTGGTGAGCTGAGATTATACCACTGCACTCCAGTCTGGGTGACAGAGCGAGACTCCATCTCAAATAAATAAATAAACAAATAAATAATTTTTAAAAAAGAAAGAAAATAAATAAATAAATGGACAAACAGAGAAATGAATGACATTTCTCTGGAATTTAGTAATCACTAAATTCCAGCCTTAGAAGAGATTAGGTTTTAATGACTTATTTTGTACTCCATCTCAAGAGACTCTACCAAGAAACGCCAAAACATCTCTTTCATTTAGGTTTTTACTTGCAATACAAGGCAACAAATCTTTTTTTAAAATTTGAAAGTGAGACTGAAAAAATTACTTTTTTGAAAATAAAACAGTGTACTTAATACACAAGTAATCCCTTTATTTTGCCAATTCTTCTCAGAAGAAATCGGTTTCCCAGAGAGTCACACCAATGCAGGATTAGAATCTACTCAGCACAGCCAACTTTTGGTTCCCTACAGGATCCTCAGCAACTTCAAAGACAGCCTTTTTGTACAGTTCTATGTCACCTCTCTGGTTCCTCATATGAATTCAGAACACAGAAAACAATTTAAGAAACCATTTTCTCAATTTTCCCAAGGATTTCATGTCCTATTTCCTGTGTGCCATTCTAGATGCACAGGACAGAAGTTAGTTCCCTAACACTAGGGGGTGTACCCACACAGAATCCCAGCTGAGCAAAGCTGCCAGAAAAATAAACTCCGTTAACTACTATTCTCAGCAAAATAGAGTCAGGAAGACAAAGGTGCTTAATAAATAAATAAAATTATGTATCTATAAAATGAAGGGAAAATATTTTTATATTATTTCCTGATTGAGATGGTTCATTCCACACACCTCTGCTACAATAATATAGAAAATGGTGAACTAAAAATATTTTTGGATGGAGAAAGACAAGTTTAGAGAACAGTGTTCTTTCACTGAGAAGTACCTGTGCAAAATACAGCTTTAGCTTCTTCCCATTGAAGTCTGTTTCGTGGAGTTCTATTCGCGCCCTTGCTGCTGCTTCAGGTTTGCTGAAATTTATTCTCACTCTTCTAAAGCTTTTAAACAGCTGAAAAGTAACTTGGTCATCATAGATGGTGAAGAGTGCTTCAAATCTTTCCTGCAATTAAGGAGCAGCAAGGCAAAGAGAATGGGGGTGGGGGAAGAAACACCTTTATAGAAGAGAAAATTTAAATCATGAAACCTAAGTAATTAAGAACTCATTATAATTAACCTTTTCTCCAAAAAATTAATACTTTTCTTGCACATATACAGGAACAGGTATCCTGTAATTTAGCAATTGCACTTTTTTTTTAATATTTTTTTGAGACGGAGTCTCACTCTGTCATCCGGGCTGGAGTGCAGTGGCGTGGTCTCAGCTCACTGCAACCTCCACCTCCCGGGTTCAAGTGATTATCCTGCCTCAGCCTCCAAGGTAGCTGGGATTATAGCCACTCACCACCAAGCCCAGCTAATTTTTATATTTTTAGTAGAGATGGGTTTTCACCATGTTGGCCAGGATTGTATTGAACTCCTGACCTCAAGCGATTCGTCCACCTCAGCCTCCCCAAGTGCTAGGATTACAGGCAGGAGCCACCACGCTGGGTTGTGCACTTATTTAAAATGTAATTAACTTTATTAAATATTGTCCACATTCAAAGGTTATAAGATGAACGCAAGATATAAGAGAATGATACAAATCTGCCCAGTTCTAGAACACTGTATCGTCTGATGTCCTCAGTGCAACGGGGTTGGTTTTTCCCTCTGTCACATTCCCTTCCTCCTTCAAAGTTGTCATTTCTGGAGTTTTATCATTCCCTTATTTTTCTTTTCTTTCTTGTTTGAGATGAAGTCTCACTCTGTCACCCAGGCTGGAGTGGAGCGCAATGGCTCAATCTCAGCTCACTGCAACTTCTGTCTCCCAGGTTCAAGCGATTCTTCTGCCTCAGCCTCCTGAGTAGCTGGGACTACAGCGGCATGCCACCACACCCGGCTAATTTTTGTATTTTTAGTAGAGACAGGGCTTCACCATATTGGCCAGGCTGGTCTCAAACTCCTGACCTCGTGATCCGCCCCCTGCTTTGGCCTCCCAAAGTTTTGGGATTATAGGTATGAGCTACCTCGCCCAGCCCCTTGTTTTTCTTTATAGTTTACAACATTTATTTATATCTCTAAAAATGGTATCATGTTCTATGTATTCTTTCACACCTTGCTTTTTTTGCTTAGATCTTGCTCCTGAGATTCTCCCTTGCAGCTGTTTTTTTTTTTTTTTTTTTGAGACAGAGTCTCACTCTGTTGCCCAGAATGGAGTGCAGTAGTGCAATCTTGGCTCACTGCAGCCTCAACTTCTAGGGTTCAGGCAATCCTCCTGCCTTGGCCTCTTGGGTAGCTGGGACTAAAGGCACATGCCACCACATCCAGATAATGTTTTGTATTTTTTGTAGACACGGGGTTTTACCACATTGCCCAAGCTGGTCTCAAACTCTTTGGGCTCAGGTGATCCACCCGCCTTGACCTCCTGAAGTGCTGGGATTACAAGTATGAGCCACTGCACCCAGCAAGACATCCATTTCTAAGTATTGTTTCAGCTGTTTCCCACCAGTTTGTTTAATTTTGTTTTTGGTTTTTTTTTGTTTGTTTTTTTGAGATGCAGTCTTGCTGTATTTCCCAAGTTAGGCTCAAGTGATTCTCCTACCCAAGTAGCTGGGACTACAGGCATCTGCCACACACCCAGCACCTGAACAGTTTTGACATGTTTTATTATTTTTATTTATTTTTTAAAATAGAGGGCTGGGCACAGTGGGTCACGCCTATAATCCCAGCACTTTGGGAGACTGCAGTAGGTGGATCCCTTGAGGTCAGAAGTTTGAGACCAGCATGGCCAACATGGTGAAA